GAGTGGTGCAGACAACGGTCACTCTGGGATCAGGAATGGAACAGTATTGTCTTTAGTGACGAGTCTCGATTTTGTTTAGGCATGCACGATGGTCGTGCCAGGGTGAGAAGGCGACGTGGTGAAAGGAGGAATCCACAGTTTTTTGTTGAAAGACATGTTCATCACACTGTTGGAGTTATGGTTTGGGGTGCTATAGCTTATGGTTCCAGGTCACCTTTAATCTTCATCAGAGGGAACATGAACGCGCAGCGTTATATCCACGAAGTTCTAGAACCCCATCTTTTACCCTATCTTGACACCCTGGCAGATCCAACTTTCCAACAAGATAATGCCCGACCACATGTTGCAAGAGTCACAATAGACTTCTTTCAACATAATGATGTCACATTGTTACCATGGCCACCAAGATCTCCCGACTTATCCCCAATTGAGCACGTGTGGGATATGATGGGTAGGAGATTGCTCAATTTGCAACGTCCTCCTCAGACTCTAGAAGCACTTCGAGAGAAGTTGGTGGTTGCCTGGAATGAGATACCACAGGAGGACATTGACCACCTGATCAGAAGCATGCCTAGGCGCGTTGGAGACTGCGTAGCACATCAGGGTGCATCCACACATTATTAAAGGTCAAAGGGCTTTAAAGCAGTGCAATCATTTTGAAATTTTTATCATTTACTTATTATGCTTCATTAAGTACTTATACAAAATTTTATTAAAATAAAACCATTTAAACTGGGTGTTCGGATTTATATGTCACTTAGTATATTCATTCATCTATTTTTGTCGATATTATTCTTGTTGTCAATTTGAGAGTTGTATTTAACATATTTATTGCTCGATAATTATTGGGGTCTTTCTTATCTCCTTTCTTGAAGAACATCAGCTTGTTCGCTCTCCTAGATTCATCTGGTATTCTACTCGTCGTGATTATTTTTTTGATAAGGAGTTGCAGTTGTTGTTCAAGGTAATCACGTCCATATTTTGAGAGTTCATTTGGTATTTGATCTTCTCCTGGTGACTTTCTATTTTTTAATTTATGTATTCCTTGTCTCACATCTTTTTGGGACATTTCATCAGTTATTATATTTGGCGTTTCTTTGTTTTCTTTTTTAAATATTTCTGTCAGGAAGGCTACCCCATATATCCACTTTTATGTGTTCTATTTTAACTAGTTCTTTGTAGTCTTATGACGCGCCATACTTGTTTCTGTTGTCCGTAGAAATCCATCTCTAGTCCTTTTGTGAATCTTTCCCAGTAAACTGTTATTGTTTTTCTTACCAACTGATGAGTTTCAGTTCTTATTCTTTTATATTCTTCATATGATTCATTGGTTTTATCTGACTTATATTTTAGAGAAGTTTTTTTTTGGTACGTTTTTGTTCAACCTCTAGTGTAAACCATGGTTGTTTCGTTGACCACTTTTTGTTTTTGTTTATTATTTTCGTTCCAAGGGCTTCTCGGATAGCGTCTAGAATATTTTTCTCCAGCTAGTTTCTACATTGTTTTCATTTTTGATATTTTCTATTTTTATCTTCTGTTCTAGTCTTTTTTGATATAATGATTCTATGGGGTCATCTCTTAAATTTTATGTTTTTATTATTTCCTCTGAATTCGTTTGTTGGGTGACGTCAAACCTCTAACATCCGCTCGGGGAATGAGCAATTCAAAATTAAGGGCAGGACCCCCCCTCGATCCGCCCTTCAAGTCCATTTATACAGAAATGTGTGGACAATCTGTTTGATGCCATTCTTTGTGATTGCAGTTCACAGTTCTATTGATTTGCTGCATCCTCCTATTATTCATTTTATAATATGTCGGGATTATAATATGTACTTCCATATTTGTCTGGAAACACGTTAAGATCCTCCTAAACTGGTATATGTGCACTGCAGCTCCCATTAGGGTAAACAATCGCTCTATTGATTTAAAGTTATGAAGTCGGGCTGAATTAATTGCAACGAAAATCATTTATGGAACCATTACGTAAATGGAAATCACATGTACAGCCATTTACCAACCAATTGTATTCGAACCCCACCGCCATTTGTTATGGAGCAGCATCAATTATACTGATGAAAGATACGAACATGTTTCCAACATGCCACACATGCATTTTAATTGTTGGCGTATGACTGGTGAACTGCATAAAGTTGAGTAATGTCGTTGAAAAATAGTGTCAGCGGTTTAGCTGATATTTCTCGCGCAATGTCAAAAACGGCATCCGGTAGGTTGACCTTGCAGTTTCCACGCAACGCTGTCACCACTTTACAAAAGAATATGCTCGGCAAAAATCATTCCCTCATAGAAAAAAGTTAAAGATCGGTAAATCTGTCAGTTAACAGCATAGTCTAACAAAGTATGTGGCGTTGAAGGCCGGATGACAGCTAAACATCACTGTATAACAGAATCTCAATCTTCTATCTTCATTCATTTCTGTCATTTTGAGTCTTAAGTCTGATAGGTGCGTAGAATTACCGGGGCTAGAACCGTATACAGGGTGTAAACGTTATGATAGTCGTTATTTAAATGGGTGATAGAGGGGGTAAAAGGAGCGAAAAGTTTCATATAACATGGGCGCCAAAACGGCATTTTTTTAGAGAAATGCGACTTTAGTAAGTAAAATAAAATCTGACAACGCCGCAATGCCAGGCGCAAATCACGACGGAACGCAGTGTAAATAAAGATGGAGTTTGTTATTTTTGACTCTTAGGTATTATTCCATTATTTGATAATGTACTCGTAAAATGCAAACAACTAAAAAAACGGACATTCCACTAACTGTCTCAGCGATTCCCTTGGTGTGTGACAGTTTATTGAACGTATTAAAAAAATCCACTCCTAGGGAACACAATTTTGATACATACATTGTTTTTCTTTTTAAAACCCACACTGCACTTTTTTTGTATTTAAAGAAGTTGTTTAAAATGTCGTCCTACAATTTCCACACAAGCTTCATGACGACGAACCCAGTTCATTCTTACTCTAGGTCCTCGAAATTGTCCATTTATTATTTCAGCCGCATTAAACATTTTTTCGACGTACGCGAACAAAAACAAAACAACCACTGTTACCGTTTGCGATCGATTGCAGGTTCGATAAGAGTGATGATGACCGACGCGATGTTGTCATGTGTGTTTTAAATATTCAATTTGATGAAACTGACTTACTTACTGACTACAAATTTTGGCTTAACTTAGAAAACCTTAATGCCATTTATTTTTCAATTACCCAATTTAAAAACGTTTTAGATTGGATTATAAAAATTAGTAAGATTGTGGTCGATACTTACAGCTGTAAACTATAAAGCCATTTAAATAAAAATCTAACATCTAACGACTTTTGGACCATGGGTCACATAAACTTTTTGACTTGTTTTGACCCCCCCCCCTATTACCCATTTCAATAACGACTACCATAACGTTTACACCCTGTAGATATACAATAAAAAACTGAGACATGCTGGACCCACCACCTACTACCGCCAACCCCCTCAAACTGATCATAAAAATGAATAATGAGCTGGAGTTTCTAATTCCTCAAGAGAGAAAGCGCAAATTTTCATTTTTTACGCTTTTGCCTGTAGCTCTACCCCCCTTGGGATGGAGTTTCAAAACCTACAAAGCTTTTTGGCTCTAGGCATAGAAGTAACCATTTACCGCTTTGTGAATAGCATATTTACTTATATTTTGAGATTAGAAGGTTCACAAATCAACACTGCGGTGATTCAAGATAAGGTTTTTTCTCCTTCCTATCCCTGTTTTAATAATGATTCCTTCAGCATATGTTCAGCGAGGTCTTCTTATCCGTTTTCGAGTGTTGTACCTGTCCACCTATGTTCTACTATATAACATAATTTACAGAATAAAGTTCCATCTTGTTACGGAATTTGTAAATTTCAAAACTACATATAATTTTAAAAAATTTCTCATGTAACATTAATTACGCGTGTTCAATTTTTCGCTTTTCTATCTCAAATTGCGTTCCGTCCATAGCTTTGTTGCCCGTCTTTTACTTTTTCGATATTGGCAACACTGAAATAATCAGACATGCGTAATTTGCAGTCTCCTTTTCCATTTTACCATCTCTTTCGTATCATGCGTTTGCCTGATGATAACCGGTATCATACAGGGTGAGCCATAATAAAATTCACTTTGGAAAACAATGTAAATGAAAGCAGGATATACGTAGAAGAGGTCGCTAATTTTTATGATATAAAACGACATTGGCGATTTATATTTTCAAAATGATATCGTCAAGATGGACTCTAGCTTTCCGAGAACACTCTCCCAAACGGAACCTCAAATTGTCTCCTGAGATTGCCGCCATTTCGTGTCTAATGATTTGCTTTAATTCGTTGAGAGTTTTTTAACTGGTACTGTAGACTCGGCTCTTGAGCCATCCCCATAAAAAGAAATCAGGTGGGCTTCATGGTGGCCAATCAACGTCACCTCCCCTCGAGGCGGCGTCCTGTTGAAACCACGTCGTGAAGTTGAATCCATCAAAATCTTGGAGCTTTAGGACCAAAAACTCTCTCAGCATTCGAACATAACGTTCTGAATTAACAGTTGCAGATTGCTCGCGATCGTTCTAAAAAAAGTAGGGCTCAATCAAACCCCCAGCTGATATTGTTGCCCAAACTGTGTATTTTTGGCAATGAAGTGTTTCTAGTTCAGCCAGTTATACGCATCAGTGGCGACTCGTGGCAAAATAAAACAGGCGTTCTGCAAATCCGAACTTACCTATTTTTTATATGTCAGTTCGATCCTGCGCTCCTTCTTGGCAGCAAATTTGTCGATCACCTTCCCGTTAAAATTTTCCATGGTCGAAATAAATTCCTTTCCATTGGACAGCATCGACAACGCTATAAGGCGATCCTGGGTCATAGTATTACGAAGAAAAGTTTTGATTCTTTTCAATGTTGAGAAATTTTGCTCAGCCTCTGATGTTGAAATACGAATTGTAACAATAATTTCTAATACCTTTTTTGTTTTTTTTAGTGTTTAATCCAAACTGTTTTGTATCAAAAATTTCGAATGAGACAGAGTTCCATGTAAATCTCGGCAGTCATTCCGTGCATAAATAACAGACAACTCTGTCTTTAAACGACTTTTTTCTAATTCGGGATAAGCCAAGCAGGTAGTTTCCAACTTGTCATCAGGAAACCTACCACAGTATTCTCCAAAGTGTTCGGGGAAAAAAAGGGATGCGGCTACCAAATGATCTTTGAATTGAAATCTGTCATTTGCAGAATTCACTATATTGTCGCATACTTCTAATTCGGCAACTCGGTGATCGTGACTGCTATTATTACGTCGTCTCCTTTTGTTGCCTTGGGGTTCAGTGCAAATACTTTTGGCTTCATTTATTATGTCATCAATTTCAGTTCTCACATCGACAATACATTTTTCAAAATTATCGATAGCCGTTTTAACTTGCGCTGGTTCGGTTCTTCCCTTCTGCAACTGGTTGAACAAGATGTCGACGTGAGGCATGACATGATGAAAAAATGTCGAATAAAACACGAAAACAGAATCGTTTAACATACGGCGAATACCGAAAGCTGCCTGGCAAACGGTTTCATTAGTGAAATTTTCTTCAATTTCTTCCATGTATTCAATGAGTGATTCTCTGTTCTCAAACACTACATTTATTGTTCGAATATTAAAATTCCAACGAGTTGTTGCTCCTTGGGGAATTTTTACCCCACAATTCTGTTCAGTACCTCTACGCGTTGAGGAGAATTATTAAAAAATCCCGGAATATCTTTCAAATCCCCAAAGAACACCCGAACTTGAGCATTTGCGGTAGCAGCTTGGGACATAATCAGGTTTAACTGATGTGCATAGCAATGCACATAGTGAGCAAATGGATATCTTTGTCTAATTTTTGCCTGTACTCCAGCATTATGTCCGCTCATTACCGCGGCTCCATCATAGCTTTGTGAAATCAGTTTGTTAGGGAAATTTCCTATTAATGGATCTACGACGCTCAAAATATGTCTTGTGATAGTATCAGCGTCACATTTTTCGGGATTCGTATAATTCCAAAAACGTTCTGCTGGTTCGCCGTTGAATACGTATCTGAAAACTGTTACCAGTTGGGTTCTCCCCGAAATGCCCATTGTTTCATCTGATATTATCGCCAAATACGAGGCTGTTAATCTGTTTTATTACAGTGAAAGCTCTCCTTGCGGACAGCTCCTATAAGCGGACATCTCTTTTAACCGGACAAAGTTCCTGGAACCGAATTTCAGCCATCAATTTTCAATGTTAAATGCATTCCGATAAACGAACGCTCTTATAAACGGACGCGGACACTAGATTTTCCTGTATGTGATCAAAAAATTTCCCATAAGCGGACGCGAAACTCTAATACGATTTTTTAGTTCCGCTTATTGCAATGCACATATCTACATACATAAAATTCGGTAATTCCCCGATTTATATTAGGTGATTCCCCATTTACGCATTTCGTTGGGTAGCCTGTATGTAATCTTGTGGCTTGTCTTCAGTTCAGGCAAATTCGTAGTTGATTGAGTTACGTATTTTATTATTGTAACTGTAAAATGGCACCAAAAAAAAAGGATGCTCTCGTTAAAGGAAAAGATGGAAGTTGTTAACGTATTAGACAGAGAAAGTGTTTCAGTTCGTCATTTGGCAAAGAGGTTTAATATTGGGAAAACGCAAGCAGCTGAAATTGGTAAAAATTAGGAAGATATCAGGAGTAAATGGCAATCAGGAACTAATATAAATCAAAAGAAGGATTTTTTAAAAAAGGAAGGTTTTGCTATAGACAAAACATGTTTTGAGTGGTTTGTGAAAGCTAGAAGTCAGAACATTCCAATCTCAGGGCCGTTAGTGAAAATGAAAGCTAAAGAAATCGCCACTACTTTGGGCTATAATAATTTCAGTGCGTCCGACGGGTGGCTGCAAAAGTGGCGCAAGAGACATAGTGTGAGCTTCAAATGCATATCTGGCGAAGCTGCTGCAGTAGATCAAGTTGATGTGTCACAATTTTTGGAGAAACTTCCGTCCATGTTGCTTGGCTACAAACCAGAAGATGTGTACAACGCAGATGAGAGTGGACTTTTTTTTCGCGCATTGCCCGACAAAACTCTGTCCTTTAAAGGAGAAACATGTGTGGGTGGAAAGTTGTCTAAAGATAGACTAACCATTTTATTCTGTGCAAATATGGCCGGTGAAAAATGCGATTTGATTGTGATCGGGAAAGCGGCTCGTCCCCGTGCTTTAAAAAACGTTGCTATTAAGGATCTACCAGCGACTTGGAAATCCAACAAAAAGGCATGGATGACCCGAGAAATCATGTCTGAATGGTTAGTCGAATTCGACCGGAAAATGAGAATCCAAAAAAGGCAAGTTCTTTTATTTTTAGACAATGCATGCTCTCATCCTCGTGATATGAAAATGAAAAATGTGAAAATTATATTTTTACCGCCAAACACAACTTCTGTTTGTCAGCCCATGGATCAAAGTGTCATACAGAACTTTAAATTTTATTATCGGCACTTGACTTTAAAACATATTTTAACAAAAATTGACGATGGTCAAAACTTATCTGAGCTTACAAAGTCTATCAATGTGTTAGAAGCTTTGTATTTTATAAAAACAGCATGGAATAAAGTAAATTCCTCTACAATTAAAAACTGTTTTGGCAAAGCTGGATTCAGAAAAAGTGAATGTAGCTCAGAATTTGCTGAGCAAAATTATTGCGATGCTGAAGACGATCTGCCCTTAGCGACACTTGCTCAGTTACTGCGACATGCCAAACATTTAGGAGTAGCAGATCCCCAGAAAGTAGATGATTTCCTGGCCATAGACAATAACATAACAACAGAAGAAAATGCCATTGGCAACTTTTCGAATTTGGATGTAGAAAGCCCAGGCCAACTTGAATATGGTAGTCCAAACGACTCAGAAGAAGAAGTGGAACTGGTGGACTCACTAAGCGGTTCAAAAACGATAAATTCATATGGGGAAGCTCTAAATCATATTTCTATATTGAAAAAATTTGCTAAAGATGATTTCACTGCATTTCAACATTTGAAAAATTTAGAAAGTTATTACGAAAATTGTCTCCTTCAGCAAAAGATGGTGAAATTTCGCCAGACAAACATTTTAAACTTTTTTCAACAAGCTAAAGAATAATGTTTTTTTTAAATTCTCGTACCATGTATTGAAGCATTTATGTTTTTGCATGCGTATATGTACATATATTATATAGATATATAGCATAAATACATACTTTAAAAATGTGGCGAGTTTCTGTTTCATTTTTCTCATGATTATAATACCTCATTTCCTCATGATTATATACCCCGTTATTTATACTCTATACTTACATACTCTCTTTTAAACGGACACCTCCCATAAGTGGACAAAAGTTACGGAACCGTGAGTGTCCGCTTATGGGAGCTTTCACTGTATTTCTTCATGACAAACTTCAAGAATACAATCCAGTAGATCGTTTTGTATTTCGTTCGAAGTCCCTTTAAATATTGAAGCAGTTTTCATGTGTTCGCTTGAGGTTGTATCAAGCTCAGCAGAATAATTAATCAGTCCACGAAATATTCCCGGGTTTTGGGAGCGCCAATTCAAATGCTCCGCAAAATTTTATATCGAGCACCTACCGACCAATCAGATACCGTACTTCGCATTAGATCTGTACGGATCTGTATAACGTGCAGCACATGCTTATGCTTAAATCGCGCATTTGATTTTGTAGAGAGAGACAAAAGCAAGCGCGTGCGGCTTGTGTAGAAGTAGTGCACAGACCCTTTTCAAGTGGCCCATGAATAATGTTACGCTGCGGTCGCGACGAAAATGACAAGTACACAGCTGGTCGACTAGACCCTGTGTCTTGCGGGGGGCAGCGTTGCCGGTATTGTTTCTATTTGTGTGATAACATGGAAAATAAATAATGAGCAAATTACTACTGCTTTTTTCTGTTAAGACAAAAGTTCTGACAGTTCTGCAGCTCTGCAGAACTTAAGGGCCAGCCGCCCCTGATACGCATCTATTTATAAACACCCTGTATTTGTTGCACTTGAAAGGATCCGACCACGATGAAGGCTCACCTGTAATTCGCATATCCGCCGTGTGGACGTTTACAGTTCATTCAAATTTAAAATTAATCATGGCTCAGGCAAACGAGCACATACGCTATTTATAAAATTCGTGGAAGTCCCGTCGAAGAACTCCCCGTCGACGACGGCGGAGTTTTAGTTTCCTTAGAACGTCCGTATCGGCTTACTAACTTTTAAATTGCTCAAGAAGGTGATTTAGTTTATAATTCAGCAGACTGCGTTTGTTGAGGAATTCTCGGAAAATCTACTGTAAAGGACGAAGTGATATATGAGGTCACTATCTGTTACCCGCGTACGTTTGAAGCAGTTGCTAACATATGAAAATTTTCCAAGTTATGGTATAAATTACAATCACTATTGTAACTTTGATTGTATTCTTATATTGACGGCCATGCTTGGAAATGTGTTTATGTATAAATATTGATATTATCAATTTGAATTAAGGAAAATTTTACATGATATCTCCAATTCTTAGTTCACATTACTTTAAAAAGAACTTTGTTATTGCTAGTTTTTATCTAGCAGGAAACTGCAAGGACTTCTAAACAAATTTGCAAGTACTGTTTAACCTCCTTAATCCAGCTCTATCGCAAGATCCGTTCTTAGCTGCCACGTCCTGCTCATTATATATCCCCAGAAAATTTCATGTTCATAGGTCAAATAGTTTACGAGATTTCGTGATTTATGTATACCTTTTTGTCCCATTGCTCCTCCTTAATCAAACCCTGCTGCGAAATACGTTCTTAGCTGACATTCTCTGTCTATAAATTCCCTCCACGCAAAATTTTATCTCTATACGTTACATTCTCTGTCCATAAATTCCCTCCACGCCAAATTTTATTTTCATAGGTTAAATAGTTTTCGAGATTTTGGGATTACTAAGTGCAGAGCTTTACGTTTTTGTAGATTTATATCTGCACATAGTCCCCTTAATCGAGCCCTGTCACAAAACTTGTTTTTAGCTCCACAAACTACCGCTTTGCCAAGCAGCTTCATGCTCATAGGTCAACCAGTCTTCGAGAAAAATGTTCATTATTGTGAAAATAAAATGATGGACAAAATGCTCCCACTTATTTATATATATATATATATATATATATATATATATAAAGAGAATATGATCATGCGGAGAAAAGTATATAACAACAAGTAGGAAAATAATGGGCAAAATCCGCAAAAAGGAGGAACGTGAATCCGAGCAGAAAATAGGATAAGTAACCCGAGCGATACGTATTTCTGCTGGTTGGCTTCATCAGACCCGAAATGAATGCACATATGAAACTACAAGAGTAGATACACATGCCCACACATCCGGATACGGGTGTAACTTGAGGAAACGAATGTGTAGGTTGGCTCTTGTTATGGACTTCGTGTGTCGTTTTTTTTCCCCTCCAACTTCGTTTCCTCAGGTTACACCCGTATACGGATGTGTGGGCATGTGTATCTACTTTTGTAGTTTCATATATGCATTCATTTCGGGCCTGATGAAGCCAACCAGCAGAAATACGTATCGCTCGGGTTACCTATCCTATTTTCTGCTCGAATCCACTTTCCTCCTTTTTGCGAACTTTGCCCATTATTTTCTTACTATATATATACATGTTAACTTAGTTTGAAGTATTCTAGGTTTCCAGATGAAACTTGAATGGTGTTAGCTCTCATTTCACCCTCTTATAATCGTATATTCAGTAGTTCAGCTTTCTACTGTTCCGCGTCTATATTGAGGTTATGTTACAAATATCAACTTTCACCAAATTGTTCATGCTTTTGATCTATATCATCTGTTATATTAGTCTGAAATTTCCTGTCAAAAAGAAAACATAGTCTCACAATAGAAGAGCGCCGACGCTGACACGGAACAGTATAAATCTAAAAATACCCCAACCTTTCCGAATGAGAGAAAATACTATGAAAATCAAGGAGGCCATAAAAGCGTCCTACAATTGTAGTAGCGACTAACGATACGGCACTTACAGACGGAATTCCCAAAATGCCGCTGGTTTTTGGCCCTTCCTTAACTTGGAATAAGCCGCTCTTATTTTGATGAAATCTTAACACAAGGTTACCACTATGTCAAGGACTATAAGGCTTTACGTGTTTTAAAAGTCGATGTATGCTTCATTCTTTACCAACAGGTAAGTTTTTGAGGAGGTAACGAAGCGTTAGTTTAGTTAGGCGATAATCTACCACAGACGCTAAAAACCACGTTTTGAGTCTCCTGAGAGTGCTGTCTTTGCTGTCACTAACTGGGAGTATAGTTAGAATGTTTAAAACCTTTTTGATGCTGGAATAGATTTCTATAAGACCAAAGAAATATCGAAGATTTTTCTTTGCAAATGTGTATCTAAACTTTCTTTCCGTACGGGTATTACGTATCGTGGAAAGTGACATTATGTCGACTTTTTTGACATTGTATTGTTTTTTCGAGACATATCAATGTTTGGCTCTGATGTGATGTAAAATCAGCTTTAGAGATGGCATTACTGGAGGTCTACGCTCTAAGTTGTATACTATAGCTAGAAAGAAACGGCAATGCGCAGGTGCATAGTGAAAATTAGTGTGCTAATAATATGTGTACGAGCCCCTTCCCACTTCAGTTGGCTCAACTATATGTGAAAAAAAGTAATACCACAAATGCCGACCGAAGAGCATTAAGAAGAATAATCGTGAAAAACAGGCGTGCCAATTATTTACAATCAAGTGCTCTGTGGAGTGACGCTGTTGGAAGGAGAATTTCGAGGTCCACAACTCATACAGAGGCCCACAAACTGGGATTTAGCACTTGCAAGGTAAGTTTTCTTATAAAAAAAAGTGAAGCAAAAACCCTAAAGTTGCACAACTTGTTTATAGGCCAAAGAAAAGGCACTATTAACTCCACTGCAAAAGAAAAATCGGCTTAGATGGGCTAAAGAACACAGACAAGGGACACATCAACAATGGTGTGCAATACAATGGAGTGATGAGGTCCGATTCGAAGTTTGTGTTGGTGACAGTCGCAATCGAGTTATTCGCAAAAAAAATGAAACATTCCATGTTGACTGTCTGAAGAGAAAAGTGAAATTTCCAGCATCCATTACGGTCTTGGGTAGTATGTCATCAAAAGGAGTAGGAAAACTTCATTTCATTGATGGAAATGTCGATACAAACAAATATTTGGCAATTTAGAAGAATCGCTTTTACCAGTGATGGAAGAATGTTCGACAAATGGCAAGATTTTGTGTTTCAGCAAGATGGTGCAGCGTGCCATACCTTAAAAAGGCTATAACATGGATTGATGAAAATAATGTACCACTTTTGAAATGGGTTTCTAGCAGTCCAGATCTGTCACCTATTGAAACTTTGTGGCACGAGATGAAAAAGGTTCTACGGCAACATCCTGCTCGTACAATCACCGAACTGAGACAAAAGCTTCAAGAAATATGGGATTGTTTTAAACCAAATTTTTGCCAAAACTTGGCTAACACTATGCCTTAAAGAATTTCAGCCGTAATAAAAAATAAGGGTTATGTTATCCAATGGTAATCTTTCAATTGTTGGTTTGTTAACTTCGCGCATTTATTCGCACATTGTTTATTTGTTCAGATGTTCTATTAGTTACAGGTCTTTTACGACTAGAGTTGGATTCTTGTCTCCAATACACTTACCAGAAATTAGTTGCGCATCCACTTTTTCTTATCCATTCTGGAAATTACTTATGCAAATTTGCTGAATTTTAAAAATGAGGGAGATAAGAGATAATTATATTTATTGTACACTGTCGAATTACAAGGCATGTACATGCTAACAGTAATTACATAAAACGCGAGCACGGTGATGATTTCCCGTAATTCTCCTCAATGTTTTTGAAAACACAAAAAACGTAAATAATCTTAATTTATAATTTTGAACATAGCCTGTCGTTCAGAAACGAAACATAGAAATCATTCTTCGCGGACAGCTAATAAATAATATTGTAATTCTGGGGGTTATGAATGCAATCATCCATTTTTTATGGACAAAAATAAAAATGGTATCTCATATTCGGCATCCTCACCCTAGATATAGTTTATTCAGTAATGATTTTCTCACACAGCAAATATCACTGAGTTTATACCCATGCACACTAATAGACATTATCATCCAGATGCGATCTTGCTATTCAACCAATTTTCTTCTCAGAGATGAAAACTACAGACTACTCGGCTTCACAAAACATATGCAACCAACAATGCGTGTAGTTGTGTGACTATCTAGTCTGCAAGATGATATTTTATAGCTTTTTTTTGACATTCTATAGGTTTTTTACATAATACCCGTGCCGATCTTACGGCTACTTCAAGGTGTTTCCTCCTCACTTCACTCCCTTTGAAGATTCTCTACGTCGCGTAGTTGTAAATAACCAACCAAAATATTGTTTGAACGTGGGTCGCCCTGTACGTCAAACAGTTATTTTATTCTGGTGCTGCATTATTATCAGGATAGATACTTATCGCATCGCTAGGAAAGGCAGGCGTAGAGAGCCCGCAGGTCGTTAGTCGAACCTGAGAGTCACGCACGACCCGTGATTTTTCACGAAAATCTTGTTTCGATCGGCATTATAGAAGCCAGTTTTCTCGCCGTGCTTCGGTCGGATAGAATCAGCTATTGTAATGGGAACAGAAAAGAATTTTATAGCTTCACTTCCCACGCATTTACCTAGGATGCTTTGTACAGGATCAGATAACCTCCGAATCCTCAGTTCTCTAGTCTGAAGGTTCAAAGCCGTTTTGAAGTCCGGGGATAAATGAAAGAAAATACAACTGGCAATAGAGCTCATACCAGCTGAATTCATGATACTTTACAGAACAAATGGTCAATAGGCCTCTAACTGTGACCAACCGCGTACAACGTTGTTTCATACTTGTTCGAAATACCGTTATAGCTCCAGTTTTAAAAATAAACAAAGAGAAAGCAACTAAGCAAATATGGTCTATTAAGTACGAGTATTTCGTCGATTGACGAGTTACTTATTATGGTGGGAGGTACTCCGTTCACGTAGTGGACTGACACTTCAGAGACGCCTTGAAGCGTATGGGTTTACTGATGTTGATGCCTGGGTCAAAGAAAACTTTTTTTCGAACTATCCTAGGTGGTTTTGTCTTTTTTGGTTCGCTTAAAAAGATAAATGCGATTTCCTAAAACATGATACAGAGTGTCCGCAAAGTTGAGGTTTTCCTTTTCAGAAACAACTACCCTTGAAATAACAAAGGTAAAGTGTAGTGAAACGAGGGCGACCAAGTAAAAAAAAATAAAGGAAAAAGTACTCACTCTCCAGTTGACGAGAAGGGCTAAGTCTCTGCCCGAAATCATACCGCTCCAACAGAAAATGAAATCAGCTGATGCGCTACCGAGCAGACGCAGGCAAACAAGGAAGGGAAAATGTTTCGTAAAAAGTCTAGGTATTGCATCCCGTCCAATCGATTTGGGAGAATAAATGGTCCAATGAGCATACCGTTCACCATGCCAGCCCAAACATTCACCGAAAATGTTTGTTGAAAATGTGCCCGACGGACAGCGTGCGGATTTTCTACTGACCAAACATGAGTGTTGCGGAAGTTATGCACCCCATTACGCGTGAACGTAGATTCGTCTGTCATCAATATGCACTTCAAAAAGTCCGGATTATTGTCATGTTGATGCAACAACCACTCACAAGACCGCACTCTTGCTGGAAAATCGTCAGGTTGAAGGGCTTGTACACGTTGGACGTGAAACGGATACAGCCCCTCTTCACACAGCATTTGCCACACTTTAGTTTTTGATACTTGCACTTCTCTAGCCACGTCTCTAGTGCTTGTTGAGAGATTCACGTCTACGCGATTATCTCTACACGCGTGACAGTAACCGTCGGTTGAAGGTTGCATACTGACCTGACACACTGACCCCGACCCAGTTCTGTCGTCGGGTTGAGCTAGTGTACTAGTACCACTGGGGGATGTCGCGGCTACAGGACGGTATTCAGATATTTTTGATGTTGCAGAGCGCTTTATCTCGGTTCCCTTAAGACATTGATGTATATGGTACTAAGAAAAATTGCTTATGTTTTCAAGCACTGCACGTCGTGTAAAGGAAAACCCCAACTTTGCGGACACCCTGTATATTTATTCAAGTATGAGTGTTTTATTCCTTGAGCTAAATCAAAACACTTTAAGTACTCAGTTCCCTTTTTTCTTTCTTTTCTAGAAAGGCTTTTAGTATCATATTTCCCCTTTACTTCCCACGCCACTGACGAGTAAGCATTGCAGTTGCGAAAAATTTCGAAAATTAATTATGAAATTATGCGTTTTGAATGTCATATGACTTGTATATTACGAAGAACCATGAACCTAATTTCCTTCTGTCTGTCCATTCGCTAGAGTCTAGACCCGTCTATAATTTCGATTTTGATGAAATTTTCATACAAGGTGACTACTCTGGCAAGAACGAAAAAGCTTTATAGATCTTGAAAGAATCAAAATTGCTCCGTCATAGTCTTTTGACGTCAATCTTGTAGGGACAAATATTTATCGCAATGTATTCCAAACTTTGCCGGCCATGTATTTAAAAACAACTTCTAACCCCAGTAGCTCTAACGTTCTTGTTAAAGACATTTCGCCCATATATTACCCCGTAAATGTGTAATCAAGACTTTTGTCAAGTGTTTTGTATACATACAGGGTAGCGCGTCGAAAACGAAACAGACGCATTTACTGGCAGCTCAGTTTTTTTTTGAAAAACGCTCAGACCCGTCGATTTTGTTTTCGAGGGGGACACAAGTTTGGCAAAAATCACGTTAGCACATGCAGCCTCCTAAGCGGGGGTGTCACCACCCCCAAAATCTTAAATGGAAAGGGGGGTCAAGTGATACCTTATTTTAAAGGTATCACTCGACAAAGTAATTTAAAAATGAAGAATAAACTGACCCGTTAGGCAAGTAAATGTTGAAAATTTGCCACCATGACTCTCCATGCAATAATAAAGATTTTGGTCAAAACGTTGCCGCACATTTTGCAATATTTGAGGAGTAATTTGAAGGCACTCATTCACAATTCTTTGTCGCAGGTCTTTTAATGATGTTGACTGAATAGCATAGATTTTGCTTTGTAAATGACCACACATAAAGGAATCCAAAGGTGATAAATCTGGCGATCTTGGGGGCCATTCAATGGCACCTCTTCTACCAATCCATCGATCTGGAAACGTCTGATCTAAATATTGTCGAACACGTAATGCGTAATGTGGTGGGGCACCATCCTGTTGGAACATTCGCAATGTACCGCCGATCATTCTGATTTTCAAATATAGCTGTTAATGCAGGAACTATGGCGTCTTCCAGTAATTACAAATACATTTCAACGGTCAAATTTCCAGGTAAGAAAAAAGGACCAACTAAATAATCGCCAAAAATACCAGCCCAAACATTTAATTTTTGTGGCTGCTGTGTATTAACCTCATGATAAATTCTGGGATTAGAATCTGACCAATATCGGCAGTTATGACGATTTACTACGCCATTTAAGAAAAAGGAACATCCGTCGGAAAAGCAAGTGTTGAATAGAAAATGTTCATCGTTTATAACTCGTTCACTCATATCTTCACAAAATTGTAATCGCCGATCAAAATCGACAACTATGGGACTTTAGAATCTGTTGGACAGTACGTCGACTAACACCACACACAGTCTCCAATTTGCGTGTACTTAACGTAGGATCTACATAAACTTGCCCTAAAACCCCCACTTCTATTGCTTCGTTCCTTCTGGGATTTTCAATGTTGCGTTTTTTATTGGCTACTGATCCAGTTTCCCGAAATTTAGCTACAAGTTCTGGAACATGTTTTCGATGCACGTTACTGTTCTCATGTCTCTCATTAAATATGTCTGCTGTTCTATTAGCGCACTGATTATTTCCGAAAAATATTTCGATAATTTCAACTCTTTCTGCTGTGGAATATACCATGGTTAATTTATGTAATAAAGCGTTACATGTTATTTTAGCAACAAAGTTTGGTTAAATCAATCGCAAACTATGTACTAAATTCCTATTTAAAATAAGTACGAGATATTTCCTTATCTTTCTTCAAGAAATAACTTGTTTGCCACAAAAAAACGCTCCAATAGGTATTCTCAATAACAAAATGATAAGCAAATCATGGACGTAGTGAAGAAGAGCATTTACTTATTATTAAGTAAATTCTTTTAGTCAAATTTCTTCTGAAAGTAGTACAAACTAATCTGATGTACCTATTAAAGCCTACTTTAAGCTTTAAATCAATAAATCTTCAAAACTACTGAACTGAAGTACATTAATTTTACATCATTATAAAGGGAATTGAAAGACCTTTAAAATAAGGTATCACTCGACCCCCCTTTCCATTTAAGATTTTAGGGTTGGTGTCACCCCCGCCCAGGGGGCTGTACGTGTTAACGTGATTTTTTGCCAAACTTGTGTCCCCCTCGGAATCGACGGGTCTGAGCGCTTTTCAAAAAAAACTGAGCTGCCTGTTTCGTTTTCGATGCGCCACCCTGTATAAGGTGTACTAGCCGCTGGTCGCTTTCCTGCGAACATCCACGCGACGAACTTTTTACCTGGATAACTGACAAGAGATCAACGGCGCCCCGACAATGTAGCAACAGTGAACATCAGGGCAATATACCTACTTTATTGGATATCAATAAACAGGTAGGGTGACGAAATTAGGGCTGTAGTTATTTGGGTGTGAAATAATGAAAGGACGTTCACTAGTCTTCTTCGAATATGAAGATATTTTATGCAATGGAGAATCTCATGTATTCTTAGTTCCTTTTAATCAAACAAATGATAGTAGGCAGGGCGCGGATCTAGAAAATATTTTTGGGGAGGTCCATATGATGCATTTGAAATTACCCTCTCAAAAAGGTGCTGGTGAGGGGAAGAGCTTAGGATTCATGTTAAGGGGAGGTCCATAATGCAAATTTGGAAAATTCGTTCGGAAATTTTCGATATACTCGGATATTTCGGGGGTTTTCCGGACCCACTTGGATCCGCCACTGACCAGAGCGTATTAAGGTTCTTTCAGGTGAAATATAAAATATTTTAATCATCCCTGCTTGTATCGCTGCTATATGAAACCACATATGCTTGAAATAATGTTTACTGGCGACGTTTCGATCTTGTGCTTGAAAAAGTCCATGTCGTCAGTAAACCGTACTTCAAGCATATGTGCATTTAGTGGCCAGAAAAATTGTAGTTTTCAGGTATTACATTTATTCTTTTTTAAATCATATTTCATATACTACATAACCACGTGTAAGGGTTTCCATAGCCGACCAATGATAAAGCTATCATAACGAAGGAAACTTGCTTCAAATCATGCTCGTTATTTCAATGTTTGCCAAATAAACAATGCATTTACGTCAGGGTACAAGGACTTTCATAGCTATTAAAACAATAAAGATACCAGGGATACAGAAGTTGACTCGTGTTCTATATACGAGGTCGGTAAATTAAGTGACGAAACTCGCATCGTACGTACGATCTGGCAACACTGGAGGCGCTGGGCTTAGAGAGTAGACAGAGGAACATGTGATCCGCCTTCAGTACAAGTTTCAACTCGCTCGAGTAATTTTCAAATGACTGTAACCGACCAGCTGAAGGTTATTCCGGTATCGGAGTTCCAAGTGCTATGAGGAGTGGACAAACCGTCTCCAGCGCTGTGTTTCTTCAAAAATAATTTATTTTACGGGTGACACTATATTACCTGAATAAAAAAAAATCAGTCTCATCACTTATTCTTGCAAAGTTAATTTGTCCAGAATTGCTTAGAAAGTACAAAATCAACCTATTTGAAACCATTTCTTTGTCATTTACAACAACCGCGCATACGTTCTCACCCCGCCCGCAACAAGTACTTCATTTAATTCGCTAGGGTGGCTCTGGGACAACCCATTCCGGAGAGCTAGGTTAAAAAATCGCCTCATCGCGTGAATCAACGGGTGGCCAACACATACCACGGCCTGAGTTTAATTCTCTAATTATTCAAGCAGCAATGTGGTCGAGAGTGACAGGAGCGTAGTCTGTTGTATTTACAGCGAAA